AAAAAAATACACAACACGTATTAGGTGAGATTATGTGTGTGTGTATATATATATATATGTGTGTGTATATATATATATATATATATATATACACACACACATAATTGAATAAACGTATCAATAAGCAAAAATCACATGCTTTTTTCCAAATGCCATCTGAGCAGCAGCCTTTTTATTTTAATAATAAATACAATAATCACAAATTATTTGTATTCATTTCCAATTGTGCAACCACACGTCTCCCTTATCCAACTGTGCAGTTAATAAAGCCAACTTTTTCTAAATGTTCTCCCTCAGACTTTTTACAGGTCAAACTGAGCTTCTCCAATTGAAGACAAAGAATCCATTCATTTTTCTACATTACAGAATCATGGCTGCTATTTTAACTATCTACGCTTTTGGAAGGTGCAGGCAAACTGAGTGTTTTGTACCCATGTCTACTTGCCAACGCCCATCTTAGACAAAGCGCTGCCCCACAGAGAACGTTCATATAGAGAATCCATTCTGTTTTTGCGTGGCTCTCAACTGTCTGCTACACACAGTACTGTTCAAATCTCAAGGCCAGAAAAGTGCTCTGTGCTTCGCCAGTTGACATTCCACCAATATTTTCCAGCAATAACTTTTTTTTAACACTTTGCATAGCAATTCACTAAAAACAACAAGAACACAACACACACACACACACACACACACACTCACACCCCTTCTCTCTAACCAGGGCCAGTATGAGCCAATGAGAGTCATAGGCAAGAAATTAATTGAGTGCTTCTTAAGCTATATTCTGTAAATATTTTTTCCATAGTTATTTAGAAGAAAGCGTGAGAGCTTTCTTCTACATGTCAGGAAAATAAAAAGAATAAGGAATTTCTTCACCTCACCACCATTTTCCTGGATCTTGGGTCAGATTTACCGTACTCAGCACAAACATGTATTTAATATTTTTAATGTCTTTGCAACAAATCTAACCAGACCTTTGGTTCTTCAAAGTCAATGAGCTACCGGCACGGGGAAGTCGCACTCACCCACCAGGGGTGCTGTAACGTCTCCCTTCCACACTAGACCCTGGGAGAGGACTTCTGCTAAATAAGTTTCTCTCACCTTGTTACATTTCTGAGAATGGCATCCCTTGTAAGTGGGTACCCCGTTAGCTGTCCCACAGATTTTTATCTCAGCTTTAAATCTTTAAAAAATTTTAAATTATTTCCAGTTTGATTGAGATATAACTAACATATAACATTATATTAGCTTCAGGTGTACAACAAAATGATTTGCTATGTGTATCTATTGTGAAGTGATTACCACACTAAGTTTAAGTTAACATCCATCACAGTTACGAATTTCTTCTTGTGATGAGAACTTTTACGATCTACCCTCTTAGCAACTTTTGAATACACAGTGCAGTACTGTTAACTCTCATCACCATGCTGAACATTACATCCCCAGGACTTATCTTATAATTGGAAACTTGTACCTTTTGATCATTTCCACCCATTTCCCTCACTCCCCACCTCCCACCTCTGTTTCTATGGCTTGGTTTCTTTTAGATTTCACATATGAAATCATACAATACTTATCTTTCTTTACATTATTTTACTTAATATAATGCCCTCCGTCCATTCATGTTGTTGTAAATGGCAGGATTTCCTTCTTTTTGTGGCCAAATAATAGTCTGTCATATATGTGTGTACACACACACACACACACACACACACACATTCTCTTTCTTTTCATCTGTCCATGGGCACTTAGGCAGTTTCCATGACTTCTCTATTGTAAAGAATGCTGTGGTATACATACATGGAGGTGCAAATATCTCTTCCAAATACTGGTTTTGTCTCCTTCAAATACATGCTCAGAAGTGGGATTGCAGAATCATATGATAGTTCTATTTTTAATTACCTGAGGAATTTCCATGTGTTCTACAGTGGCTGCATCAGTTTACACTCCCACCAACGGTGTACACGTTTCCTCCTCTCCAGCACCCCTTGCAGACAAGAGAGCCCCCTTAGCATGGCACAGATCTGGCCTTTATCTCTGCTCTAGTTCTATTAGATTTTGGTTTCCTTACAAATAAAACTCCATGTAAATCAAGTCTAAAGAAAATAGAAAGGTAAGGCGAAATAATATAACAACCCATTGCCAAACTTCAATAAATCTTGCTTTGATTTCTTACCTCCATGACTTTGCTGAGCAGTGGAATTGCCAAAAGGCAACAAAAAGTCAGGGAAAGAAAAGCAAAGGGTCTGGGAAGATATTCTGTCCTCCGGTGATTACATTTTCTTTTGGCGGTAATGTAATGTTTTTCTGCTTTAAGTATCTTGTGTTTAAACATCTATCAGGATTACACCCTTTCCTACAGGAGGCCGTCTGAGCGAGTGTGCTGAGGACAGGACTACACACCTGACAACCACGAACGGGAATGACTTCTGAAGAAAACTACCAAATTAAGCTATTAGATCGCCTGCACATTTTGATATGTTTACTTTCTTTATAGATCAATATGACATCAGCTCGTTTATTTTAAATATTATCCATTTGTGACAAAATCTGAGAGGTTTGCATTTTGGAGTATTTTCCTTTCCTTGCATTCCTTCAAGTGCCATGTGGAGTTTGATGTTTAATAATATGTTGTAACAGATGTCAATATGCTCCGGAACTGAAATGATACTTGCTTCCAAATCATCCGTCTGCTTCTTATAGTTTCAGGTTGACCTAATGGAACAGATTCTGCAGATCAACTTGACTGCCTCAGAGCTTCTGAAAAGCCAACCCACTTACTTCTGTAAAAAGTTTCACACCTGAGAATATGAAATTGCTCTGCCAAGTGAAATCAGACAGAGCTGGTTTTCTAGAATAGAGGATGCATTAGAGGTCTGTCCGTTGGTTTAACATTTCAGGTTGTAATTCTGAGTTTTTTAGTTACATAGAAAAGCTAGATAAAAGACAAACTTTGCATCATTAATTTACCCACACCCTCTTTTTTATTTTAAGGGAGAATGGGAGGAACAAACAAATTCCGGAAATAATTTATATTTGTTTTAGTTTGGGGGTAACGTGTTCATTTATTTGAAAAAAATGTGCTTTACTCTTTAACAGGATGTTTCCAATTCTTTACTTCCAAAGACTAGCAAACAAGTAAGAATCAGTGTGCAACAACTCTGCTATGTGTCAGTCAAAATTGTAAAGAATATGGTTTTATACTAAAATTCCCATTAGCAGCAACAGAAATTAGAAATGTCATTTTTAAGAAAAAAAATCATGATTTAAAAACTCTAGTGATGCACATATTTAGAAAGAGGTAATTAATAGCATCCAGGAAGAAAGTCAGTATCAGAGCTGTGAGAGCTATCCACGCAAACGTTTCAGTAAACACATCTATTCATGTATTTTTTAACTTATAAAAGTCTGAACTTTTTAGGCAATAATGGGAAAGAGGCAGGAAGTATATATTAGGATTCCCAGGTCTTTTAAACATGCAATTTAAAGCATTTCATTCTAGCAATCATTTTCTTTAATTGCCTGCTGAGCAATCTGGAGTAAGCCTCACTTTGCTTACATACTGTTTTTATGTCTTTAGATAACACAGATCTCTTTTTGCGACATATTTTAGAATGCCCTAAGTAGGGTTGTATAATTTTAAGTACTTCTTATGTATCCGACTCAAAGAAAGTGATTAGATGCTTATAATTTCAAAATGCAGGTCAATTCAGTAAATAAAAAAAGAAATATTTCCCCAAAGGGAAAAAAAAGAAACCTCTGTAGCATTGACAAATAATGTAGTGAGATTATTCAGGTGAGTCAGCATCTTGTCCATTACTTAGTGTGACTGAAAAATGATAAACACACTTGCTTTTAAAAATTGAATATCACATTCTAATATTTCCCAAAGAGCTGATGGTACATCATAGACTCCAAAAGTAGCATGAGGAAAATAAAATTCATCAAATACAAAATCGGGCTCTCATCACACACACAAAAAAGTTAAATTAAATTTTTAAAGAGATTAATAAATAAACTCAAAGGGAGAAAATATTTGCAAAATATATCATTTCTCACTAACCAAGTATGCCTTTCACTTTTGTATTTGTTACAAAATTTCTGTGATAAAAAACATTTTAAAATGACCAAAGAATAAAATCAATAATATGTAACTATCTCATATAAACCTAAAAAAACCAACTATTCCAAGAGAAAAATGGCAATAAAAGGCATAAAAGATAATTTAAGGGAATGAAAAATTGAAATAGCCAATAAACATATAAAAATATTAAGCCTTACTGGTAATCAAAATAACATAAATTAAATAACTTTTTCTCTTGACTGGCAAACAAAAAAAATAAATTTTACATAATATGTATTGTTATCCACGTAGGCAAGTACAAATCTACATGCATTACTAGAGAAATACAAACCTTAAAATTTGTTTCAGAAGAATTTTGCAACATTTATCAAACAGGTTTTTGTTTATTTCTTCTATTCCAGCAAGTTGACATTTAGGTACTTATTCTAAGAATAGTTGTTCAAGTGTGTTCATCATAACTTTGTTATGTCAGAGATAAGTCAAGACAATCTAAATGTCCTGCAATAAGTTACAGAAAGTTATAATTAAAATGTCTATTTCTTGATTTGAAACACTGATCTATAAATGAGAATGACAGGTTATAGCACAGTATGCAGATTACTACTATATTTCTCTTAAATATGTGTGTAACTATACATAATATACATGTATGTGTATGTGTACATATGTGTCTCTGTGTGGTGAGAGAGAGACTATGTGTAAATGGTCAGATGGTAATGATGGATGGATGTCTTTGGCTAGTTGGCTTGTGGTTCTTATTTATATTTTCAAATAGCCCATATTACATGTGTAACAAATACAATAATGAATAAGCTTGAAAGTTTCTTACATGGCAGATTTGATTATCCACTCTGGGAATACAGATGGTGCACTGTGACATCTTGAGCACTCCCTGAAGCATTTTGTGTATGGGGGACACAAGAAGACCTGGTATCAATCGCCTACCTCAAAGGAAGGTGATACAAAGAGGGTGGTACTTATTTTCTGGTTTTAAAACATATAGACCCTTTTAGTTCTTTTTTTCACCCAGTAGGGCTGATATCGATCTTTATGTCATCTGCACATTATTTCCAGTTCTACTTGTGATGGGTCGCGTGGTCAGTATAGATTACCAGGTTACACTAGATTTTCTCCCTTTAATTCAGGTGACTAGCAATGAAACAAACAGTGTTGGAGGTTTCATTTGTATGTGCTGAACTAAATGGCACAAATTCTTAGAAAATGATCTCCTTGGACCACTGAGAAACAAATTGTCCACCGGTTCTTCTACTAAGAGGCCAAGAGAAAACGAATGTTTGTGGATGAATGTTTGTCTTCCCAGAATTCACAGGTCGAAGCCCTATGCCCCAGTATGATGGTATTTGGGTATTTGGAGATAGGACCTGTGGGGAGTAATTAGGGTTAGATGAGCTCGTGTGTATGTTGGTCCCCTAGGGCAGGGTGTATGGAGGGGGTGGCTATTCTAATGGGATTAGTGTTCTTACAAGAAGAAACACCAGAGGACCAGAGAGCTTGCCCCTGACCCACACCCGCCCAGTGCACACACACAAAGGAGCAGTCACGTGAGCACACAGGGAGGTGGCAGCCTCCTGCCCGCCAAAGGAAGAGGCCTCAGAATGCAACCCACCCTGCCAGGACCTTGACCTTAGGCGTTCCACCCTCCAAATCAGTGAGAAACAAATTGCTGTTGTTGAAGACACCACCCTCTGGTACTTTGTAATGGCAGCCAGAGCTGACTCAGACAGAGACTCACTCACCTTCAGAAAGTGGGACAGGGGAGCAGAAACCGTGAGAGCTGTAGGGCAAAGGGGTGAGGGAGAGCCAGCGAGAAGGTCGCCCAGCCTTGCTCTATTTCTCCCATGGGAGGCAACTGTACATGTTGTGGTTCACTTTCTGACCTGAAGGAGCAACAGAAGAGAAAGTTTGTTTATCATTTTGCTCCTTTGTAGACCTGATCCCAAAACTTGACTTCCTTCTGATTTTCACAGGAGTCATGGCTCAGCAATAGAGAAAATATTGGTCACAGTAAGAAATTACGCCTTAAGCTAATAAATATATATCAAATATTAAAACAGACTTGGTCTGACCATCTAATAGAGACTGTTGCAAGGTGTCAGATATACCACATTCCGATATATTTGACTTGTAGAAATGGATCTAGTAACAGTTTCTTGTGATCTGGAGAGGAGGACCAGACTTACAAATACCGTTGAAACTCCTTCACAACGTTTCTTCAGAGAATAATCTAAAACAATAAACTACTTTGCAAATGTGATTTTTAAGAATATGAACCAAAAAGGTTAATGAAAAGATTACGTGAGTCCTGCTAAGACTGTAAGGGCTGTGGTAGAGATACAAGGACCAGTGGATAAACCCACACTGGTGTTTACAGGGAAGCCTTGAAATCTACAGCAAAGTGCTCACGCTCTGGCCACAGTTCTACTTGTTGCTCCAAAGAAAGTTTCTGCCGGAGTCTGTGTCTTGGGAGCCTGCTTTTCACTCTTGAGCCTTGCCTGACTGCTTCACAGCATGTCTCCAGCATAGTGTATCGGATTGACTGCTACAAACTGTATGAGTTTAACTGCCATCTTGGCATCTAGCCATCAGCAGCCAATAAAAGGCTGAAGAGGTGAGAACAGGCTAAAAAGAGTCAGGGGGCAGACGATGCTGCAGCATTTAAAATTGGCTGTTGAAAGGATACAGCAGAGGGGTGAACATGTCCCGTGGAGCAGCCCTGTGCAAACTTCCCTCTCTGCTTCTAGGTTTCCCTCTTATCAAGGCTCCATCTAAGAGGTCTCCATCCTTTGCAGTCTGTTCTGTAAGAATGGAATTTTGTTCATGTCTGTTTGTTTCCTTCCTCCCTCCTGGCCACACTGTTGCAGGGAATGCAAGTTCTCCCCTCCATCTGCTAAAGGCTCCAATCCTCCAAAGAAGGGCAGCAACCTGATTTTCCTAAACTAGTAACTTTTGACATTGGTAGAAGGGATTAAATGCCAAAAACATTTATTCCAATAAGATTTAGTCAAATGCCTGTAGATACGGGCAGTGTATTTCCACTAGAATTAACCAATTTTGAAAACTCTCTTTTTATTCAATAACAGTGGCTCTTTTTTCATGGTATGAAATGCTTGACTAATGTTAGTTAAGATTGGGTG